AAATAAACCTTAAACATCAGCCAACATTATACACAATTTCAGGCGACACATGTGTCCGCTTATTTTTATCCAGCATTCTTCTATTTAGGAAAATGCAGATACAACTGATCTACTACCCTCAGTACGAATCGTATGCCGTGGAAGAATTTTAAGAAAAATGTCTCCATCCACATATCCATCGCTATGTTTTATTTTTTTCACATTTTTGGATTTGGAAACTTTAGAAATATTCATGGAATATTCAGTCGATTCAAATTGTGTTGTTTTAATTTCTTCAAAAAATTTGTAACCCATTCACGAACAAATAAAATTTAAATTTGGCTCGCTTAAAAAATAAAAAATTTTTCGGCTCGAATAGAGTTCAAAGAAAAACTTGGAGTCGAAGTTTAAAAATTCAAAAACTCAGCGATTATCGCCAAAAATATTTTGGCCTGCACTCAACAACAATTACTTAAAATATTTTAAACATTTCCGAAAAATTTTGTTTTTCTATTTATGTAAAATGCAAAACCAAAATATATAATTCTTAACCCTTATTGCGGTTCTAACAATTATAATACATATTTATTTTCTGCATACTTATATATTCTATAATAAATTTCGCGAAATTCATAAAAAACTTAATAAATTAAAATATATAAAAACCAATCAAAATATAAAAGAACCCTTTTTAAGTGCATCAATTAATAATTCGATGACATTTTTCGTTGACCACAGAATATCATTCCTTAAATTCTGTTTTAAAATTAACACTATTATAAAGAAGAATGCCGATCGGCTAATCATCATAAAAGAAAAAAACACTAAAAAGCAAAAGTTTTTTTCGCGCTTTTTGAAATGTGATCCTTATACGTCTCATTCACATAAAATATAATATTAATTTCCAATATATTCTATTCAAATGACTCCACAATAATTCTAGACTACTAATATAATGAAATATCTGAAAAAATTTTTAAGAAATGATTCACTATAAAAAGTCATATACAAATTCTTATCAATCGAAGGCTATCTTTCACAACTGCTTATCTGTATCCAAGTACAAAATTTTATCATCAATTAATTTTAAATGAATCAATTCAACGCATTGTAGACTAGGAAGAAAAATTACATTTTAAATGCCAAATAGCGTTCAAACAAAATAAAATAAGAATTATAAAATATTTTAAAAATTAGAAGAGAAAGTTGTAATATGCTACATTTCAGTTACACAGTAAGTGGCCGGAAATTTGTCGCCAACATTGCATCAGATATCAAATTTTTACCTTCCTATATAGATTCTTTTCAAAACCAAAATATTTTTATTACCTTCAAAAAAAAAATCAATACCGTAATAGAATATTGAGTACAAACTATTAAAATTACCATTTTGTTAACAATATTTTTATCCTTATATGAAAAAAAGGTAAATCAACATTTAAGGATACTAGAAAAGGACAAAATAAGAAAATAGAAATAATTGAATAAAAAAATATATTGTACCTGAATATTCCACTTAGTTCAATTAGCACTTTAAAGAAAAAAAATAATGCAATTTATCTTATTAATATTGAGGTTAAACTATAACCATATCCTTATAAAAGTACACAAAAATAATATAATTCTTATTATGTCGCCAAACTGCAGCAGAGTCGTGCGCCAGACAGGTAAAAAAAACGTAATATTGCGTAACTTGATAGGATTTAATCCCTTCAGGTCAAGAGCAGTTAATTTTTTTTATTATTATTTTTATTCTCATATTTCTCAAGGGTCACTTTTAAGAAAAAAAAACACACACATTTTTCTTTACATACAAATGAGTCCATTCTTATTTATGACTTAAAAAATTATGAGCCTCTCAGGACGTTAGAAACAGAAGTCTGTTTGAAAAAAAAAAAGCTGAAATATTACAAGATTTTTTTATAAAAGAATTTTTTAGGCGCCGGTTGTAAATCAATTTCACAAGCAACCAAATCTTAGTGACCACAGAGTAAATACATATTATAAGTTACTAAAAAAAAGTTTATATTCAAGTTGAAAAGAACATTTATGTACGTATTGTGTCAATTTTTATCCTCAGTATTTTTGAAAAATAATTAGAGAATCTGCCATCTCCCACTACTTTTATAATAAAACTAATAACTATATTTTTTGGCAAGAAGGCATTTACCGCTAGAAAATCTTTCAACTCCGGAAATACAAGGTGCAGAAACTCAAATCTTACTAATTTCATAGGAAAATAACTGGGAAGAGGAGAGAGATCGAAAACCTTTTTCTAACAAATAAACTATTCAACAGAAAGATAAGTATCTGTACAAGGGTAACACACCATTATAGGCAACTAGATTCATAATTTATCTATTTTAATATAGTCAGCTGGATGAAGCCAGTCGAACGTACAAATTTGCCCCCATAGTGAACTGAAATAAGATCAGTTTTCCTCAATTAGAAAAATTTTCCAATGAGTCTACTTAATTATTGAAATTATTTTTTAACTCATTTCTAACAAATGCCCTATCTTTGAAATTAAATTTTTTAGCAGTTTGATAACAAAATGAAATCAGTTATCAACTTAATATTAATTCACAATTTTTTTTAATGAAAAATGAAAAAATATTTTTGTTTCCAAAGTCTTGATAAGCAGTAAGTAACGCCCACAATTTGATAATTTCTTTGTTCTTACGATATGATATGCAATAAGCATAGTGAGTCAGAAATATTTCAATGTAATTAAGTACGCAATCAACTGTTATCAATAATTTTATATACATTTTAAATGTGCTTTATGTTGGAAAAATCTTATCAACATTTTTTTATGATATAGAGCAGATGCAGCATGTGTTGAATTAATTTTTCGGACATTTGCAACATAAAAAAGTAATTTTTTAGATAGATTTTCTTCATCAATTATTTCAATAATAAATATATTATCAAATAAATTGTATATAATATCAAAATTGTAAAATTATTAAATATGTCATTTAAAATATATATAATATTGGCTAATATTTAATACGTAGTATTAAAACTCCTGCCGCCGGTATAGTAAATTTTATTAATAATACATAATATTAAAATAATTGAGAAGCTCCAAGGGTAATCTAGGAATGCATATACACATTCATTCAATTCGAATTATAATTAAAGTATGGATGTACTGGCGCCCGAACATCGCTGTAATAATACTAATATTTTGCACATATAAAATTATGAATTGCACATATGAAATTGTGAATGGTAAGTAATAAATTTTCATTCTGATTCAGTCAATTGGCCAGCCAGATTGTGCGACCTAACACGCCGAGAATATTTTGTTTATATCAATTTTGGTATGGAGTTTATAACCACTCGAAGAACTGGTCTATAGTATGAACTTATTATATTCTTGCTCAGCGTAAAGTTCTGCATTGATTTAGACATGTATGTATGTCCATCCGATCGCATGATTACTAAAAATTGATAATACTTTTTAAAGTATGGTGTTATATATCCCTAAAATATGTGAGTCTGCTGCATAAATATACTATATATATATTATTCTTTAATTCAAACACAAAAACCGAAACATTGATGAGGAGACCTCGATGAATTGATAACCACTATAGACATTTACCAATCTGTTCACACAGAGAATCAATCTCATTGCATTCGTTTAACATTCTAACGTTTAAGTAAAAGCAATATTCAAAAGGTGTTTTATGATAGTGTTGTAGATTTTCGTAGCACACACAATAGAAATTCTAGACCGAACTTTGGAAAAGAAGTAAATTTTTATATGCTGACATGAGCAAATAACACAAAACTTTGAGAATTTAAACTATTTTTCAATAAAATTTATATATATTAGAAATAAGAGTACTCCCAATTACTATCTTGAGGATCACCATGTGACACATTCAATGAATCAGACAAAATATAATTCAATTTTATTTTTTGCTTTCTTCCACGTAAGTAAGATTCTAACCTTTACTTCTCAACATTTGAAATTCTATAAGATTCTCGTTTTACCCAGCACCTTCGTGAAGTGTTCGATCGCACCATAACTCAAAAACTAGTACTAACTTTCGTTAGTTTTTTTTTTGTGCCAAGGATAAATTATTCTATCGTAACTGGACAAATTTGGTGAAAGGGTTCAGGTAAATGCCATGTAAATCCAAAAGCTAATTTTTTATATTCGGAAAAATAATAAAGTTAGGTTTATGAGATGTTGCAGTCATGTGTCCTATTATAGATCAGACATATTCGTGAAGTTTTTGTGAAATGGTTCGGCAGGTTCAAGTAACTGCATGAAAGCTAATTCTAAATATTTCAAAAACAAATTTGTATACTCCGATTGTAAAGGTGCATGGTATAATTCGATCGGTTTACATCGACTTAAACGTTTTTACTTATTTTCTTATTATAATTGTTCAATCAAGTGTTTCGAATGCTGCTTGCAAATATTGTTACAATTACTTCTTTATCATTGTATTGCAATTTCTCTATTACTATATCGTATTAGTTAGTTCTATATTGAAAAAGTTTTGCAACTCAAAGACATAATTTTAAATATTTCAAAATCTAGTAGAGCTAGCAGCTTGCATGCATAAATTTGACCATAATTCTAATATTTTTTTCATAATATTGAAACTTCAAGTTCATTTTCTCGGTTAAGTTATACTTGATGGTTTTCTTCCTATACACAATAAAAACAATGAACAACTATTTTAAAAAAATTCACATATTCCGACGTAGATATTTATAACAATATTTGAAAATAGTAAAATAATTTTTCATTCAACTTTAATAAATGCGTTTAATAATATTGGATTAGTTTTAAATTGATTCATTAATAAAATTTTAATATGTTACGGTTATTGAACTTGATATTAATATATTTTTGTTTTTTTTTTGTATTTTTAAGTGAATGACATTTTTTTCATATTAAATTTTCAATATATACAAATATGTATTATAAATAAATTAAATTAAAAACACATAAATAAAATGATTAAAATAAAAATAAATTTTCTTATACTCACCAAAAAATCAAAGATGAAATCAAGATCAAAAATTCTCTTTTAATTTTTTTGTGTGTGTCTTAAATTTTAATAAAATGATTAAAACTAATATACATATATATATATGTATATGCATGTATAATATGTTGATTAATAATTATAATAAATAATCCAAAAGGTGATGATGAATAATATATTGAATTTATATTTTATTTATTTCTTATACTTTATTACACACATAATTTTAAATAAATATATTCTCAAAACAAAAGGAAAACACATAATTTAAACACAAATAATTTATGTATTTTTTATATACATGTATATTTAATTTACATATATAATATATAATTTTATATTATAGGTTAGATTATTGATTAATTGATTAAATTATTAACTAAGTCAATTACAAAAAGTCATAAATTATTATTAAAGTTTTTTTCCTTAAAAAATATTGAAATTAATTACATTTATTTGAAAATGTTATAAGATTTTATTTTATATTTAAATTAAAAATATTTAATATAGAATAATATTTTAAAAATCACATTAAATCACTTTTATTTATTTATAATGATTACATATGCATGTATGTATGTATAAATTTTTCTCTTATATTTTAATATTCTGTTATGTATGTACGACCATTTTTTTTTTAAATAAATAATTTATTATTTGTTTTAATTGTATTTTTAATTTGAAAAAAAAAATATACTGTAATTTTTATAAACAACTTAAAATGAATGATGAATTAATTTAATTTTTAATTTTAAAATATTGTGTTTAAATATACGTTATATATGTGTGTATAAATATATTTATGTACTTGTTAATGAACACACAATTTTCTTAAATTTAGTTTTATTAATCAAATATTATTCACTTAAGTAAACAATTAATTAAATATTTTTTATATTGTATTTAAGTAACGCGAATTAATTATTTCATTATCGTTTCTTTTATTAATTTCATAGTTGACGGATTTAATTTGTATACAAAATTAAAAAATTACAAAAAAATATAATAAATTCTTTACTAATTTTATTTATTTTCCAATTTTTATATTATTTCAAATTTGAAAAACAATTCTTATATTGATTTATTGATATTCTTATAAAAATAATCTTTTATATTGCAATTGTATACAAAATATCCTGATTTTTTTCATGAATTTTCGATTTATTAGAACTTGAACGTGTTCATGTATATGTATATGTTTGAATATAGACTCAATAATTTAGTAAATTAAATTATTTAATTAACATATTCCAAATATTTAATTATAAAAAACACTATAAATTAAATGCAATTAATAATTTTTACCTAATTATTCTTGTACATTATATATAAGTATGTATACACCATTTTATTAAATATTATAAAATTATTTATTTATTTTTTTTTTATTTTTCATTATTATTATAAAAAATAAGAAATTATTTTATATTGAAATTCAGTCAGTTCACCCGTTAAAATAATAAACGATGTTCAATAATCCGATACCGAACTCCAACTGGTTCAAATAGATTCTGATTAGTATTTACATTTTGTGCAACAAAAAAATAAAATAATACATATAAATAAATATAGAAAAGAAAAACAAAGAAAATAAGAGATAAAACCGGTGTACCTGAATTGTTTTTATTATTTTTTTTTTCTTATACTAAATATGTGTTAGTGTTTTATTATGATTGTATTATAGCAATACATTTATAGGCATGTGAATGCACAAATATTTTTATAATAAATATTTATTTTTCAGGTTCTTTGGTTTGGCTTCTGGTTTGTTTGTTTTGTTTTCTATATAAGATTTTATATTGTAAAAGAAGAACCTGTGGCAATCATGAAAATTTTAAAAAGATATTTTTAATGTTATTGCTTTGAAAAGCGTTTTATTTCTATTACTTTACAATCTTTTGATATCTACTTCTTCTTTTCAGTATACGTTGGTAACGTTATTGCCTTCTTTATGTTTTTACTGGAATTACACATATACATACATAAAAACTCTTTGATGTATAATAAACAAGTATGTAATACAGATTTTTCTTCAACATTATTTTTTTGTTGTTTGAATTTTTATTTTGAAATTTTCTCCATTTGAAATTTTTATTTTTGATTTTATTATTATTATTTCTCATATATTTTGTTCATATGTCCTGTTCTCGTCCAGTCCAGTCAATGCACCTTTTATGTATAGGTTATTTCATTTATTATTATTATTATTTGTTTTTTTTTTATAAATTGTAAGTTTATAGGTAAAATGAATGTTCTTTTCTTCGCCATACTCTTTACACCCATGTATTTTTTGTTAAATGCACAACAAAGGGAAATCATATTAATTTTTTTTTTTGTTTTTGTAAGTGCTTTGTGTAATCGAATACCTATAATATCTTTTATGATAGGGTACAAGTATATCTTTCAAAAACAAAAAAAAAATTCATAAAATTTAAAAATAAAAATTCATATAAAGTGGGAGTTGACTTAAGATTTTTTGATATGACAAAATGTGAATAAAAATAAATATTGAAAATAAATATTGTAAACTCGATTGATGTGCAATAAGAAAAATTAAAATTATATACAGGATTAGAGTAACATTAAATACAAAAACGAAAAATGATGATAAAAAAATAAAATAGAAAGAAGGTATTTAAGTTCCAACCCCTTTAATAAAGTGTTTATGAATATGGTATTTATAATGAATGTGTTTGTATGTACATATGAATAATTGTATAGATATAAATAAGCAATCTTAAAAGATTTTCATTTGTAATTTATAAAATAAAGGAATTTTACTTTAATATTAATACTGAGTGCTTTCGGGAAAAAAAATTTGATTAATACTTAAAAAGAAGCAGGCCACACAGAATCAAGCGTAATTATTTTTAATAAATTCTTTACGAAAGGCATTGACGGCGCAATATGATGTTCTGATCTGGCAAGTATCTTCTAAAATAAGCCCAACATAATAAATGGCTACATATATAAAAATCCGTCAAATACCTGGAGCACTTCGAGAACGAACCCAAAGTTACAATTACCTTTGTTATAATAAATATATTAATTAAAGACCTGAAATCAAAGCTACAATCGAAAAAAGCACCAACACAATTTATAAAATTGTATTCGATACGGTAAATAGAAATTTATCGAAATTTGGTTCAACTATTCTGTAACTACAACAAACAATTCTCATCAGGGCGCACCATAATTCCAAGCTTAGTGGACGTTGACATCAATATTGACATAATAATTGAATGAGAGAGCCGAAATTATTATTCGCCGGAACAAACATAAGCGACGAAGAAGAATGCGAAGACACCAGACATTTTATATGTGCCATTTGACAATCAATTGTGTTCTTTTGTGATTATTCGTTCAAGTTAAATTTATATCAACAAATTAAAATATTCATATTCCAAAGTCACCCTGTGTATATATGTATATTTTATATACTTATACTTATATGTATAGATTTAGAAGAATAATGAACCACAACAAAATCCTTTATAATAACAACAAATAATTCTACTCCGAGCATACTTCAAATTAAAATATGTTTGTATATGTTCATCATGTATGTACCACTTACTTATGTTTTTTTCTGTTAATCAACTCACAAATGTTTGCACCTATACAATTTGCAAATAAACTCGTGAATTATTTAATTTTGTATACAGAATAAAATAAAATATCGTTTTTAAAGCGTTGTTGTTATACATATGAATTTTATTGTATGTATGTACATACAAACACAATATATAAATTTGTATTTACATGTGTACATATAAAACCACATTATATTTGCAAAATAATTGCTTTTGACTGCCCTGCCAAAGAACTCTTTTAATATTTGTAATACCTAATTTAAAAGAACTAAATATGAAGAATATTAAAATAAAAGAAAATCAACATTTGTTTATGCTTTCCATGTTATGTATGTGTGTATATTAATGCTCTACACTCAAAAAAAATATTTTATATTACGATAAAAAGAAATTACTCTAAGTTTTATCATATGTACATACGTATGTAATTGTATTATACTTACAGTAACTGCTTGTAACTAAACTATGCATATCAAATGTACAAAACCTGTTCCGTATACAATCTGTGACTTTTAATGTGTGCACCTAACTACACCAACCTTATAATAAAAAATATTCACTTACACACTATTAAAATACCAATTTTCTTCTTTTGCTGCGCAATATTCTTATATAGAACATTTTTTTTAAACAAAAATCTATCGCTACTACTTCGTTTACTGCAAAATATACACAAAAGAACAACAAATACAACTAAAAAAACACAACTTCTATATTTAAAATTTGGAACAAATCAAGATAAAAATTGCCGCCACTTAACAAAAAAAAAAAGAAATAAAAACACCAAGAGGAGAAAAAATGAACAAAACAAAACAGAAAATTCTGATAAAATATCACGATATAAAAAGTATTTAAGGCGGAGTTTTAATGTCGATAAGACCCACCTACTTTATTATGTTAAATTGTGTTTTGCTGTTATTGTTGTTTTTATAATTTTTTTATATGATCCCAATTTAGATTTCCAGAAATAAACAAGTTTCCCTTATATTATTTTATTTAAACGGTATGAGATATGCTAAGACATTGCTTATGCTGCCAGTTTATAATAGCAATGGTTTTTCTTTTACAATCAGCAATAATTTTTTTTTTATTTTATATTATTGCCTGTTATTGCTATTTTTTTTTCTCTGTTTATGTTTTTTGTAAAGAATATTTGAATTGGAGAAAAAAGAGCAATGGAGTCTCGCTAATAAAAATAAAGTGTACATAAATAAGTACATGCGTGTTTAAATACATACATACACACATATGGATGTATGTTTACGAAGCTAGCTAAATATTTATGTATGTTATTTACATACGCATGTATGTAATGTAGAAAAAGAATTCGTAATGATTATTAGAAAACAGAAGCTTTTTTGTGGTTATTATGGTTATTAGGACCTAGTATAAAACTTTTATATGCTACTCGTAGCTCTTATTGTATTGTTGTCTTCTATGTGTAAAAAGCTTTCATAAATTATTTTAATTAAAAAAAATACAAAACAAAATGTGTTTTTACCGATCGCTCATACTATAAGAAAGGTTAT